TTAATTAGTATTATTTAAATATATTTTTATTTAAAAACATTTTAATTATTGATTGTCTTTTAATTCATTAGAACATCTATTTATTTTTAATTAAATTATGTCTTTAACTAATATAATGATGAATATCTTATAAAATTTAAGAATATCCGATTCGAAAAACTTGGACATGTAACAAAATGAAAATTTTCAAAGCTAAAAATGCTCTGTGTCGACACTACAACGTGGGTAGCGGCACTCTTGTTTATTTCATCCTAGACCCATATATATTTTCCAAGGGCTTAAGGCATAGTGTCCACACGTAACAGATAGCTTCGACACCAAACCCGTGTCGGGTTTTTGGATCTCTCTGCAATTTCTTTAATGATAAAATACAATGAACAATTTAGTCCTATGACTTCATATTCATTCACGTAGATCCCTGAAAGCGACTCTTTTTTCTGCCAATACAGTTCCTTAACTTTTTAAGAATATTCAATCAAGTCTAAAAGCTTTGTTTATTATGCATTCAAATCCCGTTATTCCAAATATATATATACATTTATAAATTCTATTAAAAACCACATCCTATTCATTTATCTAAAAAAAATCAAAACTAAAATAAGAAATTAAAATATATTATAAGCTTAAATCCAACAAAAAAAAAGAAGCTTAGAGCTGGGCCCAACTTACTAAAGCCCACATTACAAAATATTAGCAGGCAGTGCCCAAGAGTGAGGAAACTAATACTAAGAAAAAAAAAATCCAATTCAATTTAAAGTTTTCTAAAATCAAACCGTGGGGAATCGAAATAGAAACTGGAGACTAAACTCCATTGGTTTTTTATGCTGAGTAATTGAAAATTAAATTATCAAATATGTGAAGGGAGAAGCTGACATCTCAAATTAGACATTTACTTTAAAATTATGTAGCAAATTTCACTCTAATTTTACTAATTTTAAAGAATGGTAGACTTCTGTTAAGTCCTACTTGCCACTGTTATTAATAGTCATCATTACTTGATAATTCTGTTGTAAGCAAAGTGTCCCAAAGATATTATAATGGAAGGACTTAGGATGCTTAGGTGACAGAATTAAATAACCATAAATCAAATGATAAAATGTTATGAACTCATGCTCTAAAAATTTTAACTCAAGTTCAGTTTGATTTTGATTAGTTAGTTTACAAATTCTCATAATTAATGTTAAAACTTTAATTTCTTTTAATTTGAATTGATATGTACTACAACTTAAGTTTATTTATTTTAAGAGAACAATAAAAATTAAAATATCAAGAAATATAAATAAAATTATTTAAATAT